CGGAGCTTCCGGGTCCCGTCCCCGGTCCCGTGTCCCGCCGCCATGACGCTCGCCGTCTTCTTCGGGTGCACCTTCATCGCCTTCGGGCCGGCGCTCGGCCTCTTCCTCTTCACCATCGCCCGCGACCCGCTCCGCATCATCATCCTCATCGCCGGGTCAGTCCCGCACCGGCACCGGGAGGGGCACTGGTGCCACCGTGGGTACTGGTGGGGCGTGATGGGGGCACTGGTACTGCTATTGGTACTGGTATGCCACCGGTATTGGTACCGGTACCAGTATGGGCGTGACAGGGGTGCTGGTATCAGTGCCGGTACTGGTACCAGTATGGGCATGACAGGGTGCTGGTACCAGTGTTGGTACTGGTACCAGTATGGGTGGGACAGGGGCGCTGGTAGCAGCATCCGGTACTGGTACCAGTATGGGCGTGATGGGATGCTGGTACCCGTGCTGGTACTGGTTCTAGCATGGGCATGACGGGGCGCTGATACTAGCATGGGCGTGACAGGGCGCTTGTAGTAGTGCTGGTACTGGTACCAGTGTGGGCATGATGGGGTGCTGGTACCATTGCTGGTACTGGTACCGGTGTGGGTGTGACAGGTGTGCTGGTACTGGTTCTAGTATGGGTGTGATGGGGTGCTGGTACCAGTATGGTTGTGACTGGAACATAACTGGTACTGGCAGAGGCACAACAAGGGGACCAGTACCATTGCCACTGTGGGTGTGACAGGAGCACCAACTCATACTGGTGCTATTGTGGGCAGAACGGGGGCACCAATACCAGTACTCATACTGGTGCTATTGCTTGCATGACAGGGGCACCGGTATTGTTCCTCTTGCTGGTACAGTCATGGCCACGTTAGGGACACCAGTACTCATACTGGTGGTTGTGGTCGTGACAGGAGCACCAGTACTGATGCTTGTACCCTTGTGAGCGTGACAGGTCCACCGGTATCCATACTTATACTGGTACCATTGCAGGCACAGTAAGAGCACCAGTACTTGTACTGGTACCATTGTGGGCATGAGAGGGGCACCAGTACTGGTAGTCATACTGGTGCCATTCTTTGCACAGCAAGGGCACTAGTACCGATATGGCACTGGTACCGTTGTGGTCACTGCATGGTGTGGGCATGATGGGGGGGACACTGGTGTCAGTAATGGCATGGGATCAGTGGAGCACTGGTATCAGTACCAGTATAGGGTTGGTAGTGGTACGGGTGCACGCACTGGTGCCAGTACCACTGTGGGATCAGTAGGGTATGGTACTGGAACTGGTACCAGTGAGGATATGAGCCTGGTACTGGTGTGGGCACAGTGGGGACACTGGTGCCGGTTCCAGTTAGCAGCAGAGGAGGAGTGCATGCACAGCAGCAGTACCAGTACAGGCACCACCTGCCCAGCACTGGTACCAGAACGTGCTGGTACTGGTAGGAGAGTGGGCAAGGCCGGGCACAGCTGCCAGTGCCAGTATACCAACAGAGGGGTGCCGGCATAGTGCTGATGGGCACGGGCACAGCACCAGTACTGGTACCGGCACTGGTCCCAACACAGCACCGGTGCCAGCAGGCGCTCTCTCTCTTGCAGGGCTTTCTTCTGGCTGGTGTCACTGCTGCTCTCCTCCCTCATCTGGTTTATCGCAGTCAAAGCCAGCGACCCCCAGGATGAGTCATTGCAGAAAGGGCTCTTGATATTTGGGGTGATGTTCTCTGTGTTGCTGCAGGAGGCCTTCCGCTTCCTCTACTACAAGCTCCTCAGGTAAGGGCATCTTCCACCCTGCTCCGGTGCTGCTAAATGGTCCTCCCATCCTCTTGGCCATGACAGGTGCCAGATTTCAACTGGGAGCTCCTGGGCTGGGGGGGGGGACACTAAGCATGGCACCAAGCCATGTCAGTCCTTGCTGGGAGCGTGTGGGTGGTACCTGTGTCAGTACATTGACCTCAAGCGGGTCTTAGGTGGTGGAGCAGAGCAGCCCTAAGGTCTGGAGGACCTAGGACTGAGGTGGCTAGTAGCGTCTCCCCAGATTTGGTACAGGTAGGCTGTGGGTTTGGGCTGCTGCAGGATGTGTCTCATCCTCTCTGCCCTGGTGAGTAGTACCAGCAGTGCTCCTGCAGCTTGGGGGTATGCTGGCGGGATGCCGGGCACTGGGAAATGTCCGCATTGCTGCATGGGGGACAGACAAGGGTTAGGGATCTCCCCTCGCCTCCTGGCAAGTCTTGTTCCTTTCTTAGGGATGGTTTTGTGTGAGCAGGGACAGCCTGAAGGTGGTTTTGGGTCTCTGTGGGGTGGCACATCACTGCCGGACTCATGCTTGGTGCCCTGGCCAGCCCAGGGCAAAGTCTCGGCGCAGCCTCAGCAGCTCCCGGCCTCCCTGACGCCGCAGGTGCTTGTGCTGCCTGCCAGGTGAGCACATGCTGCACCCTGTCCTGCGTTCGGACAGACAGACACTGAGCTGGGACTGGGCAGCCAGACAAGGGGAGGTGATGCTGGGGTTGGCATCTCTCATACACCCCAGCCTTCCTGGCTGGCTGGGTGCTGGCGGAAGGGGCTGAGGGGGAGCATTGCTGGGGGCAGGCAGGCAGAGGGTAGCAAAGATCCATGAAGCAGCTTCTAACACAAACCACTGCGTTTCATTTTCCCTGCAAGTGCTGCTGTCCTCCCCAGGCTGAGGAGCTGTCTGGCATCCTAGTCACCCGCCACACCTCTGGCTGATAAAAATAATGAAGCCTACCTCTCCCAGTTTCTCTCCTCAAAGAATTTTTCTTGCCCTTTGAACTCTTCCCTGCACCCCCTCCATTTTTTTTTCAACATCTAGGAGTATAAATGCAGAGACTAGGTACACCCTCCTAGCACGCGCCTCCCACACCTGCACTAGGGCTGCTTTCCACGCGAGGGTGCTGCTGGCGTTGCACCTAATGTCCCACTCGCCCCAGCCCTGCTCTGTGGGGCTGGCTGACACATTCCTCTGTGGAAAATCTTTCTGTGTGGCTTTGTGTGGTTTTCACATGCATGATTTGTCTGGTGGTTCAGGGTGGTCACGTGGATCCTTTCCATGGTGGGTGTTGCAGCTCGGTGATGGGGAGGTTACCAGGAGGGTGGGCTGGTGCAGAGTGAGACCCCATCCCGTCTGCTCCATCCTGGTGCTGCACCATGTCTTGGGAGGTGGCCAGGCTGTGCCAGGCTCCAGCATGCTCTCACCCCACAGGAAGGCCATCGAGGGGCTGGTGGCCCTCAGCGAGGATGGTTGCTCCCCCATTTCCATCCAGCAAATGGCATATGGTGAGTGCCGCGCAGAGCAGGGCACCCTGTCCATGGGGCCAGGGGTAAGCCCGGGCAGGGCTGGGCACGGTGCTGGGGGAAAGGGAGGTTTCTCACACCAAAGCAGGCTGGGACGTGCCTGAGGTGGCCCTGGGAGGCTCAGGGCCTGATGATGTCCTGTCCCGACAGTGGCTGGTGTGGGCTTTGGGCTCATGAGCGGCGCCTTCTCCATGATCAATCTCCTGGCAGACGCGCTAGGGCCTGGCACTGTGGGCATCCATGGGGACTCACAGCTCTACTTCCTGACCTCAGGTGAGCGACCGGCACTCTTTACTCATGTCTCTGCCCTACCACAGAGGTGGCAGACCCAGGGCGGCTGGAGTCTCCCGGCCATGCCATCCCCTCCATGCTGCACCCTCTACCTATCTGAGCCCCTTACAGTCCCCTGCCTCATCTGTCTGTGCCAAACCCTTCTTTCTGTCCCCTGTGACCCTCCCTGCTCCTCTCCCCCATCCCTCCCACACTTGGGGTCTGCTCCAGCACCTCCTAGTCCAGCCCAGCAGTGTCTCTGCTCCCCTTTCCCAGCTCCCCCCCATCCCTCCCCTAGCCTGCAGGCCAGATCAGGGTGGGTGGTCCCCTGGTGACACCCCTCTGCTGCTCCCTGCAGCTTTTATGACTATGGTGCTGATTTTCCTTCACACCTTCTGGGGGATCCTCTTCTTCCATGGCTGTGAGCATCGGTGCTGGTGGGAGGTCACGGCAGTTGTTGTCATGCATCTTGCTGTTTCGGGGTCGGTGAGTAGCGGGGAACAGAGCTCTGTGCCGGGCCCTATATTCGGGGATGGCTGTGGTGCGTGCTGGTCTCCATGCAGGGTTGGGGGGAACAGCCTTTGGGACTAGTGAAGCAGTTGGGTTTCACAGATTCACAGATTGGTAGGGGTTGGAAGGGACCTCTGGATACCATCTAGTCCAGCCCCCTGCTAAAGCAGGATCACCCAGAGCAGGTTGCACAGGATCGCATCCAGGCGGGTTTTGAATCTCTCCAGAGAAGGAGACTGCACAACATCTCTGGCCAGCCTGTCCCAGTGCTCTGTCACCCTCAGAGTGAAGAAGTTTTTCCTCATGTTCAGATGGAACTTCCTGTGTTCCAGTTTGTGCCCCTTGCCCCTTGTCCTGTCACTGGGCACCACTGAGAAGAGTCTGGCCCCATCCCCTTGACACCCACCCTTTAGATATTTATAAGTGCTGATGAGATCCCCTCTCAGTCTTCTCTTCCCCAGACTAAACAGCCCCAGCTCTCTCAGCCTTCCCTCATACAAGAGATGCTCCAGTCCCCTCATCATCCTCGTACCCCTCCGCTGGACTCTCCCCAGTAGTTCCCTGTCTGTCTTGAACGGGGGAGCCCAGAACTAGACACAGCACTCCAGATGTGGCCTCACCAGGGCAGAGTAGAGGGGAAGGAGAACCTCCCTGGACCTGCTGGCCATGCTCTTCTTAATGCATCCCAGGTACCATTGGCCTTCTTGGCCACGAGGGCACACTGCTGGCTCATGGAGACCTTGTTGTCCACCAGGACTCCCAGGTCCTTCTCTGCAGAGCTGCTTCCCAGCAGGTCAACCCAAGTTTGGGGTACTTGCAGCTGGCCCTTCACAAACCGAATTCTGGAGCTGGTGTCCCCTGTCCTGGTCTGCTTGTCGAGGCAGTGATGCTGCCACCTACCCTGTCCTTGCCCTCTCCTGCCTGCTCACCCCTCTCTTCTCCTGCCTCTCTCCCCAGACGTTTTGCAACCCCCTGTATGTGGGCAGCCTGGTGCCCTCCTACCTGCTGATGGCCACTGCTGCTGTCTGGGCTTACCTGCTCTCAGGGGGATCTGCCCAGAACCTGCGGCGTTTCCTGCTATGTAAGTCCTGCTCTATAAAGGGGATGGGGAACCCTATAGGTCCCTCTGGGTATCAGGACCGGCTCTGGGATGGGGTGAGGGTGTCCCCAGGGCTGGAACAAGGGTGTCATCCCCTTGGCTGCCAGACTGGAGGAGAAGCTGGGTTTTGGTCTGTGGTTGGGTTGTTGCCTCTCTTGGGGGAAGTGGATGGGGTAAGGAGACTGGTGAAAACTGATCCCCTCTCCTCTTTGTTCCTGCAGGTCTACGGAGCGGAGCCAGTCCCCAGCCAGCATCCTGAGGCCCCACAGGATGTTCCTGTCCCCAGCCACCCCTGCCCTCCCCTCCATCCTGGTGGCAAGAGCGGCCGTCACCTCCTCTGCAATATCTTTTCTCCTGGACTGGGAAACCCTGGCCAGTCCTGGCAGGGCAGGCACAGGGGTCTGGCTGTGGCAGCCAGCTGACTGGTGTGGCTGGGGCTAGCTTGCTCCGATGCCCGTTGGGGAGCCCTGGAGAAAAACTCACTTTGGGAGAACCCGGCTTTGCTGGCCCAACTGCAAGTGGAGCCCCAGTTAGCCTGCCTGGGAAGGATGCTACCTTGGACTGCCAGAGGCCTGAGCCCAAAGAAACCCATCGCGTCTCCCGCCACCGCAGAAGATATATGCTGTCCCCTGTGCCGAGGTGGGGGCCCCGCATCGCCTCCTCACTGCAGGGTGGAGGAAGTGACTTTGCAAAGCACTGCCATGCTCTGGGTTGGCGCTGACCACTGTGGTCCTACTTTCTCTGCCTCTTTGCCCAGCCTCGCTGCTCCGGCAGCCGCAGCCCCGGCACTGGACTGCAGTAACTGCAGTGCGCTGGCATCCTGGTGCAGGGAGGCACGGTGCTGGGGAACCCAAGGGGACTGACAGCACCCAGGATGGGAGGAGAATGGGGAAAAGACAGTGCCCAAGGGCCCAGCAGCCATGGAGGGTGGTAGAGGGCTCAGGAGGAGATGCAACCCCACAGCTGGTGCTGGCACAGCTTGGGGACGAGGTTCAAGGGATCGCTGCCCTCTCCTGCACTTGGAGGGGGATTTTAAGGCAGGCACTAGCCCTGATGCTGTGCCACAGGGCTGAGAGGGAGAAACCTCATCGGGCTCAGGGCTGAGAAGGCAGTTTTATCCACAGTGGGCTTTTATACCAATAAAAAGAAATACCACAGACATGCGAGGCTGTGTGCGGCCAGCAGCACTGTCCTGAAGCATCTTGCAGCAGGGGTGGCAGTGGCTTGTGCTGGGATGGGAAGGTCTGGCAGTTGCAGGCCCTGGTTGACTGGAGGTCTTGATCCTGCTCTGTCCATCCTAACAGGCTGGGCTCCAGTTTTTCTGCTTTGGGGTGGAGGCTGCTGAGGGCTGGACACCTGCAGGTTCCTCCCCTCTCCTGAACCTGGCCTGTTTCTCTTGGTTTTGGCGTGCCTGTAGAACTCCCTAGAGCTTGGCTCCAGCTGCACTAGAGCCACCAGGAAAGGTGGGAGGCAGCTGTGGATCTGGGACCGCTCCAGCTACAGTAGAGCTCGGTGGGGGCTGATCAGCAAAGAAGCGGTGGCTCTGCCACCTTCAGCTCTGCCTTTCTCCAGCTCTGCCAAGCTGTGGCTATGTTTTTCCAACACTTTGCACAAATAAGAGGAGGAAGAAGTCCCAGAGCGATGGAGGGCAGGGCTGGGCTGTGCAAGGAGCTCTGTGCTGCTTGCTCTGGAGCTCTGCCCAGGGCAGAGGCTGATGTTGTCTCTGCTGGCCGGCAAGCAGTCCCTGCACATCCCACTCCGCTGTGGGTCCAGCTCCAGTGGTGCCCTTTCCTGCCCCACAGCTTCATACAAGGACAGCCGAGAGTGCTGACACCACGGGAGGCTTTTACTTTTTTTAAATACAGTTTAACAGTTTTTTATAACAAAAATAACTGCTGGGGCCAGATGCTGCCCCAGGCAACCAGTCTGTGCAGGCAGCCAGTGCAGCCGAGGGATGGTGGACCGCTTGTTCTCCTGCAGCCTAGGTTGGGAGTGGGGGGAGAAGGGGTGGCAGGCTGAATCGGCGGGCTGGGACCTCTGCAGAGGTGCAGGACTCATGCGGTGTTCTCGGTGGTGGCGGCCGTGTAGATGACCTTGGATTTGGTCAGCAAGTCCAGCCTGGTGGGGGAGGAAGGGAGAGTTAGAGTAGGCAGGGAGGCCCTGCTAACCCATCTTGCTGTCCGAGACACCATCCTTAACCTCCCTTCTCACCTCAGACCCATGCTACCTGGTCGACCCCCTCCTCATCCAGCTCTCCATCACTCACCGTGCGTTGCGGCTGCGGTGCTTATAGATGTACACCAGGAAGGACAGCGCGGTGATAGCAAAGAGCAACCCAAAAAGCACGGCCAGCACGTCCCCTGCAAGCCAAGCACAGGCATGTTACACTGGGGGTGGTCCCCTGCTGCTACTGTCAGGGAGATGAGGCAAGTCTGGAGCAAGCCGGTAGCCTGAAGGCAGAGGGGACCTGAAGGCAGCAGCCTTGGCTGCGCACACTTACCAGCGTGAAACGAAGAGCTGGAATTGTCTTCTGCAAAGGAGACAAAGAGACCGTAAGAGCCAGCTGCACGGATGCTAGGGCAAACCCACCATAGCTGCCTGCCACCCAACTCAGCACATGGCTGTTAGGACCCCCCCCCTTCCCAGGCAGGTACACCCCCCAGCCACCTTCCCCTCCTTCAGGCCAGCCCCTCACCTACCTGCGTCTGAGCCATCACGACCTGGAAGAGAGAGAGCGCTGTCAACAGATATTGCTCGAGTTGTTTGGGGAGGGAAATGTCACGCAGGGCTTTAGGCTGTGCTGCCAAAGCAGGGCTGCCTGTGAGACTCCCCATCACCCATGAGCAGGCAGGAAAGAGCTGCTTGACAAACCCCCAGCAGCTCAAACCATCTTGCTGCCCGAAGTCCAGACCTGACACCTCATGGGAGGCTTCAGGGGAAGGTGGGGTGGGGGGGAAAGGATCTGGAACCACAAAAGCCTTGTTGAGCCCAGCCAGAAACTCCTCCATCGCTGCTGCCACCACCTGGGGAGCAGGCAGGCAGGGTGCTGAGCACTGCAGCACCTATGACTGCATCAAACCCCACAGGAGACCCCAGAGAGGGGCACGGGGTGATCCCAGGAGGCAAGGACCTTGGGGGACTGTTGCCTGCAGTGAGATGGTGAGCAGCTCCCAGGGAGGAGGCAGCCGGCCATTGCTGGCAAGGCACCCTGCATGGGGATGGCTCAGTGGCCCTACATGCTCGGCGGGAGCTGTGCTGGCCAAATATTTACCCAGCATGACAGCATGGCACTTAAACAGCTGCATTATCATCTGTACACAGCTCAGGTATTGCGCGCAAAGTGGCACTATCTGCAGACTGTATCCAGCTGTGCAGCTGCTGCGGGGAAGCTGCCACCTTCCCCCAGCAGCCGGGGGCAAGAGCTGCTCTCCTGAACTGGGGGTGACTGGGGAAAGATCAACAAGCGTGGGCACAGGAGGTGCAGCTGCAAGCAAAGCGAGACATGACCCCATGGCACTCCATCTTGGTGCTTGGCAGCCCCAGGGCTAAAACAAACAGTTATCCGCACCAGTGTGGGGAGAAAACCCCAACAACACCCCCACGTGCAAGGCAGGGAACCAGTAACCTCATCTGGGAACACTGGCATGGTGTCCTGGCACTCCAGGAACAAGGGCTACATGGCTTTGTTAAAGCGGGGGTTGTGGGATAGAAATAGCAAATAAGGAGAGGAAAAAAAGAGGCGAGCTGGGCACCTCCCCCCTCACCCCAGCCTTGGTGGCTGGAGGCTTTGGAACAGCTTCTGCAAGAAAGTGGTAAAAGAAAGGCTTGGAGGTAAATGGAAAATATGATAAAGTATCTAACAGGTTTACCAAAGATAGAGCATGCCAGCCTAACCCGATATCCTTCTTTGATAAGTGATATTCTAGACAAAGAAAATGCGGTAGATTTTATCTGTCCTGACTTCAGTGAAGCATTTGATGCGGTGCCACATGGGAAACTGCTAGCCAGGCTGAAGACCACAGTGATTAAGAGCCTGCAGCCGTTAGCGAGGCGGCTGCAGGTGAGACGGTGAAGGGAACTGCCTTGCACGGCACTGTGTGGTTACCAAGGCATTGCCCAAGGGCCTGGGACCAAGCCTGTGTGCTGTTTCCTATTAGTCACCTTGACACAAGGTGTAGGAAATGCCATCAAAACAGAAAAGGAACAGGATGTTGGACAGAAAAACCCCAGTGACCTCAGAGAGCAGCAACAGGCAAGAACTCAGCGATGCAGAGCGATAGTCACACCTGAGGATTAACAGGAATTTCTACTCATTGCTGGAAACCACCAATGCAAGAAAGGCCTTCGAGGACGAACCGAGGACAGGCAGACAGGGATGCATCAGGCAGGGGATCGTGTGCCCGGCCAGGATGGCTGCATGGCCCTGCAGGCAGAGTGCAGCCTTCAGGAGGGGTCCCCTGCACCGCCCTTCCTGCAGGGTTTGGCAGTGGGGTGCTCGCTGCAAGCCTGTACCTCTGCAGCTCCTACCCTATTTAGCTTTTGCATTTGGGGATGAAGAAGCTAGCTGGGATGCTAGGAGCTGGCTGTTTGCCCTTGAGCATACATCCCCCTAGTCCTGCTACTGTTATTTCTGCAAGACCAAGGATAAAATAGGTCCTAGAAACTGATCTTCCCCAGGCAGGGTGAGAGAAGTGCAGAAATGGGAGACAGCAGGAGCCCAAGACCAGTGCTGCCATAAGTCACCTGCTGGGCAGGGCTAACCCATGCAAATGCTGCATTTCTGTCAGAGACGTGAAGCCTTGATTCCTGCTCCTCACCCCATCTCTGCATCCCTGCAGCTGAGTGCAGCCTGACCACGCTCACGCGCTCCTTACCAGAAGGCACGTGCTTCGCCAAAAAGAAGGTGGTCTGGAAACTCGCCAGCACCCGTCGTCCGTGCAGGTCCTGCACCAGACGGTAATTGTTCTGCAGAGGTTTGTTGTCATCATTTTTCAGGGTCTTTACAAGCGTTGACATCTGGAGGGAGAACAGTGTAAGCAGAGGGGGGTGTATTCTGCTTTTGGGAGCCAAGCAAGCCCCAGGGGACCAACATGGATGGTGCACACTTGCAGCGAGAGGCTGGGCAAGACCCAACATGGACCTCATTGCCCTGACAGACCTGGTCACGAGAGAGCAGCATGGTCTGGTTGAAGACTGTCCACTTCACCGTCTGGTAGCAGGGAGGAGTGGTCAGAGAGCCATTGTAGTGAAAGTAGAATTTCAGGTTGGCAGGCAGCAGACCTGCAATGTTGAATCCAGGCACCAAGACTTCCTCTCCTGGGAGGAGAAACACCATAGGAGTGAGACCAGGCAACCCCTTGGAGGACAATAGGCAGGACCAGCATGGAGATCATGGGCAACCTGGCACTGCATGTGCCAGGGTCCACACTGCTGCCACTGGTGCAATGGAGAAAGAGCAGTGGGTTTCCCCTGGAGGCAGGGGGAAGCATGTATGAGCAGAGGGCACCTTGGAGAGCTGTTTCTGTACAAGCTGTGGAATGCTCCCCTTCTCATGTACCTATGGCAAATGCCTGCTGCAGCCTCTCTCTGCTGTGCAGTGGGTTTCTCTGCTGGGCTGCAGCCCCTGAGACAAGTACTAGGTGGGACAAGGCCTTACCTTCTCTTTGGATTTTGTACAGATGCTGAAGTATTTCCTGATAGTACGGGTTCTCCCTTGGCCCAACCTGCAACACAGAGACCTCACAGTAATGACAAGGACAGGGGCTGGAGACCAGCCGGTGACGGCGGAGAGGGACAGGCGCGGAAGCCCAGCCGGTGACGGCAGTGCCAGCAGGGAGGTATCGCTCCCTGTGAGAAGCACGCTATCCCAGTGACCCCTTCCTCCCATCTGGGCTGCTCTGCCCTCTGGGCTGTCCTCTCTCCCCCCTTCTCCTCAGGAGCATTTGCACCTTTGCCCATCCCCAAAACTGTGCCTGACTCTGACCACCCCAGTCCCACCCTCCCCCTGCTCCTACCCCTTCTCGCCCAGGGCTGACCTATAGGACTCACCTCCAGGAAGGCTCCCAGTACAGCCAGGCCATCTGAGTGGACCATTGCCTCCTTAAAGCTGTCATACTTGGTGTTGTAGTGGACCACGTGGATCTGGAAGGGAAACATGCAATCCCAGTGCAGGATGGGCACCTCCAGGAGGTGCTCACCTCCACAGGGCTCCAGCCTGCCGGAGCAAGGGCTGGGGGAGACATGCACCCCTGACTACCACCTGTCCTAGGAGGGGAATATGCTGGTGGGACCAAGATATGTGCTACTGCAAAGCAGCAAGTGTGAAGGTCTGCCTGCAGGAACTTCCCCAGTCAGGGAAAGAAAACCAGCACTCTGCCATAGATAACAGGGGGTTGTACTGCAGAGCTGGGCTCAGTTTGAGGACAGCAGCTAGAGAAGGAGGGATAAAACCAGATGGGAGCTGGCAGAGCAGGAGGACAATGTGTACAGAGTAAACAGTCCCTGCAGCTCCCAAAGCAGGCTGCTCACAGCTACCCGGGGAGCTGGCTCCTCCAGCCCAGGGACCGCCGCAGCTCCTGCTCCATCAGGCCAGGACCAGGCTGCAGCGCAGGGACAGGCTGCACCACTCGCACACGGCCAGCCCCAGCCCACCTCTGGGCAGAGCTGGAGGGTGGTCTCCTCCTCGCCTCTGCACCACAGGCAGCAGCGTGAGCCTTGGCTCATCACCAGAGTGCGGACTCCTACGCTGAACTCTGCCGCTGCAGAGCTGCCTGGGGAGCAGGGATCCTGGCCAGGGGTTACAGCATTCATCCAGTGACAACCAGGGGCAGGGGTTAAGAGCAAGACAGTGCTCCAGCTCCTTCCCCACCCTGCACTGGGAGAGGATGCGTCCACCACCACGAGGGCTCCTTACCTCCACGGCAAAGCGGCGCCCATTGACGGTGTGCTCCGAGCCAGGTCCCGACGGGGAACCCCAGTGCAGGTGCAGCTGCACAGCTCGGTACTGCTGGGCATAGCCACCAGTGATGGCCAGTGACTCGGGCAGCTCGAGGAGAACTGCAGAGGCAGAAGGAAGAGGTCAGTCAGTAAAACACAGAGCCCAGTCCATCCCACAGGTACGCAGAGGAGATGTCTCAAAGGAAAGAGTCACCCTGGGCTTGTGGAAATTGGTCACAACAAACAAATTTGCTTTCCATTTTTCACGAGGCTATGGGCAAGTCAATATCCACAGCTGTGCCAATTCAGCATGGTTCAACTTTTGACTTCAGGTTGTAGGACACCTCAGTAAATACATCAGCTTCAAAAACAGGCACTATAAAAATGCTGGAAAGTGAAAAGCCCCTCTGCAGAGATTCGCAGGGGCCAGCTCCAAGCCAAATGTTATCCAACAGTTTATTCCGTAAGTGAGAATAAAGAGACTGTGGACAAAATTCATGGAGAAAGATACTGGCAGAGTGGTGAATACCTAGGAGAGCAGGGCAGTTGGACAGAGCTAGCTGCAGTGCTTGGTGAGCTGGGACTTTTCAAATAACGCAGCCTGTGAGTGTCTGGCAGCACTGGAGCTGGTGGCACGAAAGCATTCATAGCTACAATTTTGCTTCTTTGGGTATTGTAAATACATACTTGGCTTTGCCTTTTACTTTAATGTGGTTTAGCCATCTATCTTGGACTTCTGCAGTGGTGTGGCACATCTAAAAGCTGAGTTATCTGGACACACAGCAAAAACATCAGGAGTATCTCTGGGCCCTGAGAGAGGCTGCCCTATCCTTCTAAGCACCTTTTACTCATTTTTAATATCAGCTCTCTTCCTTCCTCCTTCTTTACAGGTGAAGTGTACCTTAGTCACATTGCCAAACTAGGGCACAGATTCGGGATTAACCACGTTAACAGGGCCATGATGAGTCATTTGTCCTCTCCCGTGTTCCCTGCCACTGGGTTCAGAGATAGAAAACTCAAATACGGGAAGTGGGACATTGCTCCCTCCCTGGGAATTTATCTGCTTTTACATTTCTTTTGTATATCTAAATCATTGTGTTCCTCCTACTAGCTACCTGAGTAATTTTCAGGTGCTTGAAAAATCTTATACAGCATATGCACTTTATATTACAAAAAAAGAAGTAATATCTTACTGGACTTTTACAACTTTTTATTTATTTATGGCTTTTCATAAAGCAGGCCAGTAGTTGCCAGAATAAAAGAAGGCATCTTATAAGCATGTGAGAAACTGCTTTCTAACCCCTCCTCCCCCCCATGAAAATGCTCTGACTGCTTTTCTAAACACCAAATGCCAGGGTGTCTAAAATAGCAACTACTGAGCTCAACTAGTTTAACTTCGCAGGCACGCTAAGGCGGGAGGCCATAATGTAAAGATTTGCGCATGCACCATGCGGCTGATCTGACCATGTACAGTGAGTCCAATCCGTTGAGTTTGCTGTATACACAGGTCAGCTCCATCTCGCTAGCTACCAGGGCAAGAAGATGCCTTATCCCGCCACCTTTTCTTAGCTTGGGGACCGGCAGACACCAGCATGCACAAAAGACTTGGCGTGCTCCCAGAAAAAGCTGGTGGCAACCAGGACCCACCATCCCCAGCTGTGGGGTGGTGAGCAGGAAGGAGGTGTGGGTTTTCTTCTGTATCTATCTGGCATAGCGAGACTGATACTAAAATAACGTGAATAAGTTGTGTCCAGACTTCCCAAAAAACATTCTAAAATTGGAGAAGGGAAACAAAAGACATGTAACAATTTCTTAAGACCTTGAGATAGCATTCTGAAGCACAGACTTAAAGAAGTTGGCCAATGTTGTGTCCTAAAAGACTGAGAGGTAGGTACCTTAAAGGCTAAGTCACATCAGAGACTGACTAGTCCTTTGAAAGTGAAATGCAGAGGAGGAACCTGTGGCTGCACACCTGCATCAGAAATACCAGGGACATTTTTAAAGGAAATATGTGTTTTAAATTCCTGGACCCAGCTCCTAAAGGCAGAGAGTAGCGGGTTCTCCATCTCCTGGTTTCTCCCTTCCAGCCAGGAAAGCACATGGACCTGTAAAGGCTCAACACCCCGATGCTTCCCTTTTTGCCTTGAAGGCAACAACATGACTGTAGCCTTCCAGAGAATCCCCTTCCCAGAACCCAGGGGAAGGGTGTCAAAGAAGCCTGGTCCTGCCAGGAGAGGCTAAGTGGGCTCTACTTGTGCCTCAGCACCCACCTGTGTGCCCATTGTTCCTCAGCTTGAGCTTCTCGTTGGCAGGCAGGCTGTAGCCAGAGAGCTGGATCGGCCGCAGCTGCGGGCTGAAGATGGTCTTGGTCGTGTCAATGTTGATGGGGGACTGCACAGTACCAGCACAGTCTGGGTAGTCCACACCCCACTGGTCCCGGTCTGGTACAAGGAGGAAGGGAGAGAGTGCCAGTGAGACCACCCGGGCAAGGAGCCCACCAGAAAGGAGGTTTGGTGAGTGGTAGGCAAGGGGACAGGCACTGGCAAGGAATAAGCCATGCATCTAAGGTTAGTTTCCAACAAGTTAGCTTGGGAGCAGCTCTGTGCCACCATGTGACTGCATGCAGCTGTATCAGGAAAGGTCTTGGAGCATGGTGAGCTGCCAGGAAAGTCTATTTTTGGGATGTTTGGGAAGAGTGTGAGAAGATCATTTACAAGTGGACTTGGCAAGCCAAGGAGCTGCTGCTCTGCAGCTCATCACACACTTGCTGCCTTGCACAACCTGGCCTCTGGCAGGTATTGATCCACCACTTTGCTCATGCTGCTACTTGAGCAAGGTACCACAGTGCCGCTGGGATCACACGAGCCCACAGCCACAGGTCTGATGGGTTCCTGGCTGTTAACTTCACCGGTACAGCCCTGCAAAGGGCCAGCTCACATGGTTGGGGTGCCTGCTTAAACTTCCACCTCTCCCCAGTGCCCTAGCTGGGATAAGACAGCTGATGACCCAGAAACCTCCTCTTGCACTGCAGGAGGCTGCTTCTAGCACGTCTTGGGCTAGTGCAAACCCTGACTTATCTCCAGCCCAGCCCCTCACAGGACTCCTGTAAAGATGGAGCTGAGCATTAGCAAGTCCAAGCCAGCCCCTGGTCCTGAGCAGAATGATGGTGCTGGAGCCTGGCTCACCACTGCAGCAGGAAGGGGTGCAATTTGTGCTAGCACTGCTGTGATGAACATCATGGGTGCTGCAGAGAAGCCCCCCAAGCCATGATGGGAGGACAGGGCCAGGCAGGATGGGGAAGGTGGATGACAGAGGTGAGGACACAAGCTAATCCCTGGGCAGGTCAAAGTCCCAGCAGGGGCTGCAAGTCCAGACTGGAGAGCCCAGACTACTTTCCTGCTTGGCACAGATCAGGGGAGCTCCTGCTCAGGGAGAAGCCGTGCCCCGAGGGGCATCCCCCAGCATCCAGGGGGCTGGGGAAAATCTCAGCAGAGCTGCTGCTTCCTCCTCAAATCAGAGCAAGCCTTGGCTCTTCAGCCCATCCATGCCCAGGTTCAGGCACGAGGGAAGGGTGAGCCGTGGAGTGCACACAGGAGTCCTGTAATCATTAACCACAGCTGGCTCAGGCCCATGGTCTGCCAGGTTGCAGGAAAAAAGCAGGAGTAACTGCAGGGTATTTACCTTCATAGCTCCAGTGGCTGTGGCCAGGACCTTGAAAGAAAACAAAAAACAGAAAAAACCCACATGAATGGAAGGGAAAGGTTGGCAGCAAACACGCCTCTGCCAGACAGCGCTCCCAGCCCCAGCAGCAGGTCTCTGGGCTCCCGCTGCCTTCAATCCCCCTCCCTGCCTTCAGTTTCCCACTCCTCCCCCTGCCCTGGTGAAGGGGATGCTCCCAGAGGGCACTGCCTCCTGTGAGCAGGGCCGGGGCTCCCGCACGTGTCAGCCAGAGGGAAAACCCTAGGGTCTGACATTTTGTTATCATCCTTATAATGGAAAAATCAGAGATGCTGGCTTCTGTCACTGAGCAGCTGTACCAGTGCTCTTGCAGCTACTCCGGAGCAGCCAAAACCTCCCACTGTCCCAGGATAAAGCACTTAAGGAGGCAAGTCTGCAGCTTCCCTGCTCAAGCTCTGTAAGCAGGAGCAGCCAGGGAAGCAGCTGTCCTGGTGACACTCCTGCAATGCTGAAGTGCTGGAGGGGGTGTGGGGAAGAGCAGCTCATGTATCACACAGAGTTTGGGTAGCAAGCTGCATTGCACCGCACAGATGCCCTCCTCCCACCACAGAAAGCAGCTCCAGGATTCACAGCAGAGGAAGCAAATGAACACCAAAACCTTGTCTTCCTCGACAGTGACTGCCCCCCACTATGGGGGCAGACTGCCACATGAAAATGTGCCAGACCAAACACCCAGCTTCTGTCCCGGCAGTCCCCTGCCTCACCTTACCCAACTGCCCAAATTCCCACACAGAGCTGCATAATGGTCCTACCATCCCCCTCCCTATGAGAAGCAGGGGGAGGATGGGGGAGCCTGTGCCAGGACCTCTACACGCCCTATGTCACCCATGAGGCACACAGCAGCCATGGCAGGGTAGGGTGTGCCCTGAGCCTCCCATGGCTGTGAGTGTCCCCAGACCTGCAGGGAGCAAGGCCCTCCTGGGGCAGGTCCTGAGGGTATGACAGTGCTCCACACGTGGGCCCTCACACCATCATTCTCCTCCAGAGCTGCCAGCAAAGCTCAGGCTCCCAGCATGTCACTGGAGCTGGCTTAGAGGTACCTCAGAGCGTCTTCTCAGATGTTCCCAACCAAATAGCTTGGCTACCTGTACTGGATTTGCGTGGCCAGGTTTTGGTAGCGGGGG